CTTCAGCGTAACTTTGTTGATATACAGAAAATAGCTTGCATTGATTTTGAATTGGATTGCACTGAATGTATAGATCAAGTTGTGAAGAAATGACATCTTCATAATATTTTCTTTCTATGCCTATACATGTAATATCTCTTGATTAATGTAGATCTTTGATTTCCTTTATTAGTTTTATATTTTTCTTTATATAGACCTTATGCATATTTTATATGCCAAAGTATTTCAAATTTTCTTCTAATGTAAGTTGTTTTGTGTTTTTCACTTCAGATTCCAGTTGTCCACTGTTAGCATGTAGGAATTGACTTTTGTACATCAACTTTGTATCCTGCAGTTGTACTATGTAGTTACTGATTAGTTCCAACAGATTTTTGTTGATTCTTTTGGGACTTTTCTACACACACAATTGTGTCTTGTGTGAACAAAGATAGTTTTACTACTTCCTTCCCAATGTATATATCTTTTATCTCCTTTTCTTATTGCACTAGCTTGGAATTCCACTATGATTTGAATAGGAGTTGTTACTGATCTTAGAGGGAAAGCATCTAGTTTCTCACCATCAAATATGATGTTAGCTGTAGGTTTTTTGCAGATGTTCTTTATCAAATTAAGGAAGTTCCCATATAATTTTAGTTTGTTGAATGTTTTTCTTATAAATGGATGGATGTTGGATTTTGTCAAATATTTTTTCTATATCTGTTGGTATGATCATATGATTTTTATTCTTTGGGTTGTTGATGTGATGATCTACATCAATTGATTTTTGAATGTTTCACCAGCCTAGCATATGTGGAATAAATCCCATGTGGTCCTGTATATTTTTTATATATAATTTATATATAATTTTTTAGACCTTGTTGGATTTGATTTGCTAATATTTTGTTTAGAATTTTTTCATCTATGTTTATGAGATATACTGATTTGTACATTTCCTTTATTGTAATGTTTTTGTCTGGTTTTAGTGTCAGGGTAATGCTGGCCTCAGAGAATGGGTTAGGAAATATTCCCTCTGATTCTATTTTCTGGGAGAGAGTGTAGAACTTTGGGATCATTTCTTCTTTAAAATATCTAGTAAAATTCACCAGTGAACCCACCATGGCCTAGTGCTTTCTTTTTTGGAAGGCTTTTAATTATTTATTTAATTCCTTTAATAAATATCAATCCTTCAGTTTGTGTGATTTCACTGTGTGTGAGTTTTGTGAGATTGTGTCTTTCAAGGAATTGGTTTATTTCTTTTAGGTTATCAAATTTTAGGCCATAGAGTTGTTATAAATACTCCCTCATTATCCTTTTTAATATCCATGAGATCAGTAGTGATGACCCCTCTTTCATTTCTGACATTTTAAATTTAAGTCTTCTCTTTCTTCCTTAAGCTGGCTATAGTCTTATCAATTTTCTTGATGTTTTGAATTAACCAGCTTTTGAGTTTGTTGATTTTTTCTATGATTTCCTGTTAATTTTATTGGTTTCCTTAAATATTGTTATTATTTATTTTCTTCTGCTTATTCTGGTTGTAATTTGCTCTTCTTTTTCTGGTTTACTAAGGCAGAATCTTAAATTACTGATTTTAGATTTCTTCTAATATATGCCTTTCATGCTATAAACATTTCTGTAAGCATTGCCTTCACTGCATCCACAAATACTAAGTTGCATTTTCTTTGTCATTTAGTTCAAAATATTTTTTGTTTTCTCTTACGAATTCTTCTTTGACCTATGTATCAGTTAGAAATGTGCTGTTTAATCTCTTAAGTATTTTGGCAGGTTCCAGTCATTGTTTGTTATTGACTTCTAGTGTAATTTAATTGTGGTCTGAGAGCATACTTTGTATGATTACTATTCTTCTGAATTTATTCAGGTGTATTGTATGTCTCAGAATGTGGTTGATCATGGTGCTTGTTCTATGTGAACTTGAAATAAGGTGTGTTCTGCTGTTGTTAGATAAAGTGTTCTGCAGATGTTAATTAGATCCTGTTGGTTGATGGTGCTGTTCAATTCAGTTATGTGTTTACTGATTTTCTGCCTCCATTACTGAGAGAGGAATGTTGAAATTTCCAACTCTAATTGTGGATTCATTTATTTTTATCAGTTTTTGGCCTCACGTGTTTTGATTTTCTATTATACATAATAAGGGTTGTTATATCTTCTTAGAGAATTGACCCATTTATCATTATGTTATGCCCCTCTTTTCCCCTGACAGGTTTTGTTGCTCTGAAGTCGCCTTTTTCTGAAATTAATATAGCTACTCCAGCTTTCTTTTGATATCTGTCAGCATGGAATATCTTTCCATACCTTTACTTTTAGTCTCTCTATGTCATTTATATTTCAAGTGATGTCTTATGCATAACATATATTTGGCTCTTATTTTTTATGCACTTTGACAGTCTCTGAGTTTTAATTGGTGTGTTTAGGCCATTAACCTTTAAAGTGATTGATATAGTTGAACAGATATCTACCGTGTTTGTTGTTTGCTACCCTTTGTTTATTTTTTTGTCCTCTTAAGTTTTTTCCTGCCTTCTCTTTTTTTAACTTAAAGTTTTATATGATTCCATTTTTTGTCCTCTCCTAGCATATGAATTATACTTTTTAAAAAACTTTTAGTGGTTAATTTTTTGGGAATATGCATTTACAATTAATCCATGTGTACTTTCAAATAACATACTGCTGTGGCACAGGAACCTTATAACAATACTTTCAATTTCTCCCTTCAGTCCCATATAATATTGATGTCATTCATTTTACTTTTTAATAACGTATAATTACCAAATACATTGTTACAATTATTATTTTGGACAAACTCTAATCTTTAAGATTAGTTAAAAATAAGAAAAAATGTCGGCGCCTGGGTGGCTCAGTCATTAAGCATCTGCCTTTTGATTAGGTCATGATCCCAGGGTCCTGGGATCGAGCCCCGCATTGGGCTCCCTGCTCAGCGGAAAGCCTGCTTCTCCCTCTCCCACTCCCCTGCTTGTGATCCCTCTCTCACTGTGTCTCTCTGTCAAATAAATAAACAAAATCTTAAAAAAAAAAGAAAAAACGTGATTTTATTTTACCTTCCTTTATTCCTTCTGTAGTGCTCTTCTTTTCTTTATGTTGGTATGCATTTCTCACTTACATAGTTTTCCCTCTGTTTGAAGAAATTCTTATAACATTTTTTTTTTACAGATTTTTTTTTTTACAGGTTTTCTTTTTTTTCCTACAGATGCGGGGCTCGATCCCAGGATTCTGGGATCATGACCTGAGCTGAAGGCAGACACTTAACGACTGAGCCACCCAGGCACCCCTCTTATAACATTTCTTGGGTCATAATTCTACTGGCAACACATTCCTTCAATTTTTGTTTGTTTGAGAAAATCTTTAATTTTTCTTCAGTTTTGAAAAATAACATCACTGGATACAGAATTCTAAATTTGTGATTTTTCTTTCAGTATCTTAAATATCTCACTCTACTCTCTTCTTTTTGCATGGTCTCCTAAGAGAAATTTTATTCTTGACCCTCTTTAGGTAAGGTGTTTCCTCTTGAAGATTTTCTTTCAAGATTTTTTCTGTGTCTTTAACTTTGTGCAGTTTGAATATGATATGCCTACATATAGATTTTTTTGTATTTATACTGCTGTTGTTCTCTGAGCTTTCTCTATCTTTTGTTTGGTACCTAATTTTGGAAAATTTTTAGTCATCACTTTAAGTATTTCTTATGTTTCTCCTTTTCTTCTCCGTTTGGCATTCCTAGTATGCATAACTTACACCTTTTATAATTGCCCAACACTTCTTAAATATTTGACTCTATCTTTTTTATTCTTTTTTCTCTTTGCATTTCAGTTTTTGAAGTTTATATTAACATATCTTCAAGTTCAGTGATTCTTTTTACAGCTTTGTTCAGTCTGTTGATAAGCCCATTCAATTCTTCATTTCTGCTATTGTTTTTGATTTCTAGCATTTCCTTTTGATTATTTCTTCAAGTTTTCACATATCCACATATATTACTCATGTGTTTTTGTGTATTCTCTTTTTCAATTAAAGCCCTTACTGTAATTTCTGGTGTAATAATTCCACCATCCACTATCTCTGCCTTATCTAAGTTTGGTTTTGATGTTTGTTGTTTATATTCAAACTGGTTTTTTTTGTTGTTGCCCTTTTGAATGCCTTGTACTATTTTGTTGTAAGCCAGGCATGATGTTCCAGGTAAAAGGAACTAAGATAAATAGACCTTTTGTATGAGGCTTTATGTTTATGTAACTAGGAGTTAAGCTGTGCTTAGTTTGCTGTTAGACTATGCTTGGTTTATTCTAGCTATTGTTCTCAGAAGCCAGAATTTCCTCTGGTATTTTTCTTTCTGTTTTCCCCGTTGTCTTTGGATTTCCTTAGAGAGGTATTCTTTTTAAAAAAATATTTATTTGAGAGAGAGAGAGATGAGTGTGGGGTGTGGCAGGGGCTGAGGAAGAGAGAGACTCTCAAGCAGACTCTCCGCTGAACTTGGATCCTGATGTGGGGCTCGATATCACGGCCCTGAGATCATGACCTGAGCTGAAAGCAAGGGTCAGATGCTTAACTGAGTGAGCCACCCAAGGGCCCTGAGAATTATTCTTAAATAACTGATAGTCTGATATTGTCTGCAGTAACAGGTTTCTGCTTCTGGGCTTCTGCTCTGGTAAGCTCCGATTCTCCATTTTCAACTCTCTATCCAATATTTGAGGCAACTGTTTTCCCTCTGACTTCAGTTTTCTGTTGTTTCCAAGGGGAGTTGTTCATTTTCAACTTGTTTATCATTTATCTTGTGAGGATGGGTGAGATAACTTTCAAGCTTTTTAATTGTTGGACCAGAAACCAGAAGTTTCACATTGATCACTTTTTATTTCTTGATTTATAATTCTGTGTCTGTAAAATAAAAGAATTAAGATCATTACTTGATGGCTAAATTCTCCCCTAGCTGTAGCATTCTGTTGGGTCCCTAAGCAGTGACTTGCATAAATGATTATGCTGTTATGTGACATTTGCCACTCTTCTTCTACAGGCAGACCTCCAGGTGGACAAGGAGAGGCACAATTTCTTTGAGTCCTCCCTTGATTATGTTTATCAAATCCAGGAAGTTCAGGAGTCCAAGAAGTTCAACATTGTGGAGCCAGTAAGTTCTATCTGTTGATGAATAGTCTAAAAATATTTACCAAATGCCAGGTTAACGTAGATTACTTTGACCATAAAATTGAAATTTCAAAGATGGTGAAGGATATTTAATGCCTAATAATGAATATCAAGAAAATAAACACACTAGCTTGGGTTACTCTTGCTCTCTTACTAATAATATTTTATCTCTCATCCTTACCTCCCCTCCCCCACCTTTTTTCCTCTCCCATTTTCTCTCCCCCCAGCTATGATTTTTCTTTCCTTCTCTTTTTTTGCTTCCTTTCTCCTTTTCTCCCTCCTTTGATTTCTCTGTCACCCTTCCTTTTACCTTGTTCTCTTCCCTTCCTTGCTCTCATGCTTTCATAAATCTTCTAAAGTGCCTATCATATGCCAGTCAGTGTTCTAGGAGCTCATGTCCCTTGCACTCAATGACTTCCTATTGTACTATTTTTACTTCTATCTTCTTTATTTTTTTCTACTTACATCTCCTTGACTATAAAAGAGGTATGCTTTGATTTGACAACTATGTTGAATTTTAACTCTTGGTGCAGAAAAGCTAGAAAAAAATTATAAGAAAAACAAAAATAACAAATTCCCCATGCAGAGATAATCACTGTTAATATTTTGGCATTTTCCTTCCAGATTTTCTGTGTATCTATTATATTTCTTTCTCTATTTATATGTGTCTTTGTACTTGTAGATGTGGGTGTATGTACACCTGTGTGCAGGTCTGTGTACACATGTATATGTTTTGCACATGAGCATGTATACCTTTGTACATGTGTATCTGTCCTCACATTTTTATATATCTGCATATATATGTGTGTGCAGCCAAGTGTTTATTCATTTATACAAAAAATAATTGAGCTTCTGTTATATGTCAGGCACTGTGCTAAACACTGAGTATTCTACAGTGAACAAGACAGACTCTGTTTCTGTCTTTATGAAGACTACACTCTTATTGGGTAGACAGAAGGGAAAGAAGGATACACATAAATAAAACTAATTGTAAGTTATGATAAGGGCTAAAACAAATAACAAGAATGGGCAGCTACTTTAGATAAAGTGGTCAAAGAGGAACTCTGAAAGTATCACTTAAGTTCTAAAGAAAGAGAGGATGAGGCCACATGAATAATGGGGAAATAATATTAAAACACAGAAAAACACATGTGCATGGTCCTTAAGTTAGGAAAGAATGTATGCCTGAGGGATGAAAAGATTAGTGCCTTTAGATACAGGCGATAGAAAAGTGTATGATAGGAAGGCATAGGACTTGTAATCACAGTAAAGAGTTTGGATATTAGTCTAAGTGTAGTGGGAAACCACTGATAAGTGTTAAGCTAGATATGACATGAGCTGATTTTGTTGTGTGGAGAATGGCTTGGAAAAGAACAGAAGTGGAAGTAAGGAAGCCAAATAGGAGGCTACTACAGCAGTCTAGGCAAGAAAAGATGTTGGTTTGGGTTAGGGTGGTGAAAGTGGAAACAGAAAAGAATGTCTGGATTAGAAATATATTTTGGTGGAAAAACTGATAGGATTTGGATTGATATGTGAGTGGAAGAGAAATCAAGGATGATTCTTTACTTTCTGGCTTGATTGAGTGGGTGGTAGTGTCATTTCCTGAGATGAGAAAGCTTGGAGGAGAAACAGAAAGATTTTGTATATGATAATATATGTGGTACACACACCCACCTGTGTGTGTGTATATATATATACACACACACATATATATACATGTGTGTATGTACATAGTTGTTACATGTTTATATATATACATATATATAGTTTGTGTTTATATTTATAATATATGCATGTGTATATGCATATGGTGTATCTGTGTGCATATTTACATATACCTACCTGCTTATTTTCTAAAAAGAATAGAGCAGTTATTACTACTTCCTATTATTACACTTCACTATTGCCAGAATTGAGCATTATTGTTTAAAGGTTTGTATTTCATAGATTAAATCATATTTTCATTGTTTTTATTTCTGTGTATTTAATTATTAATGAGGTTGAATATTTGGAACATTAAAAAAATTGTATTGATCATTTGTATGTCTTATTCTGGAACCACTCTGAAACATTTCTAATTTGAAAATGGGCTCACACTCTTTGAATCTTTTAGCATTAGGGCAGTCTTCATTAAGGTACAGAATCTTACTTTACTCATTTATTCACTTATCTATTTATTCAACAAATACTGAGTACCTACTCTGTGCCAATTCTGAGGATATAGAGAGAAAATACACAGTCTATTCCCATATGGTCCAAACTATGAATGGTTTTGTATGCTATCTGGAAAGGATCTGAATGAATACATTTTTAGTAGTTCTTATAGTCTGGAACTAAGTTCCATGTAAATGTTTAATAAAAGAATAGCTATGTGTAGACCTGTTTGTGTTTTTACGATTACTTTTAACACTGTGCTCGGTATGTGGAATTTCTTTTCCATGTTTCTTTTTCCTTTATTTGGTAATGAGAAGGTACTGGTGATAAAGTTATTTTTACACATTTTCCCTAGGTGTTGGCCTTTCTTCATAGTCTCTTCATTTCCAACAGCTTGACTGTGGAGCTCACACAGGATTTTCTCCCATACAAACAGCAGCTCCAGCTCAGTTTGCAGAATGTGAGTTTGCATGTGGGTTTCTTCACCTGTCCCTGCATTCCAATTGTATTTCAGTCCCAATGACCTTGACCTTAAAATCCCAGCTTATTGCATTCTAGCCAATTTGTCAGGACATTCTTGTGTGGATCATAAATATTTTAGTGTGCTTGCTCTTCCAGTTTCAACTCTTACCAGTTTTTGAGGCTTATTGTTGTTCAAACCTACCCTTCCACCCACTGACACCTCTGTTTATCCAATAAATATTAAATGTTGCTAATTTACTGCATCCCTCTCAGATCAGAACCCAGCTATGGGCTTGTTTAAGCACAGATCTTATGCTACTTCCATGTTGGTCAGTCAAGGCACTTGTGAGTTTTATGACCATGAATGCCCATTTTCCCCTCTCTTCCTTTTCTCATTAATTACTAGAGTTAAATAAATTATATATAAAGGTTTTATTCATCTTCTTGCCCATGCTGGTTTTTGTAGATGGCCATAGGCACCACCTTCCCATCTTTGTAACATATATATTTTTTCTCATTTGTTTATTTAACCCACATTTAATGAATGGTTATGGATATAATATATACTCTGTGCCAGACATGGACATACCATAATGAAGTATGTTAGTTTTTCTTTCCTCAGGGAACAGGAAAGAGACATAAACACTGGAACACATCATAATTCCTTGTGATAAGCGTTTCGATAGTGTTAAGACCAAAAATTTGAAGGAAGCACAGAAAGTGGAACATTTGACTGCTTGGCACAGTTAGAGAAGGTATCACTGAGATAGTGACTGTGGACTAGTTGTTGCATTGCATAAAATCTGTATTTTTATATGAAAAAGGCTGGTAACAAGGTTGCTAGTGGAAGTAAACCTCACCTGGTTGTTTAGGAGGATCCTGACTTAGAGTTGTTTTGTTTCTCTCTTTCTGGGTACTCACCTTCACCAGAATGTGAGAGCCCCTGACTTCTATGGATTTATAAAATATTCCTATTACCAGGTTAATCATTTGAATCTTCCTCCAAATAGAACTTGAAAAGTATGAATTTAATAACAATGCTTTGTATCTGTGTATATGATGAACTCATTCACAGGATAATCAATAGAGTGGGCCCAACAAGATAAGGTAGTTCAGATCACCTTTTTGACTGATGTAACAGTGTTGAGGCCGGACACTAAGGACCTATCTCTAGTGATTTTCATACTCACATTTCAAACAGTGTTTTGCTATTGTGTTTTAGTTGTGTAGTTTTAAATAGATTTCTTCTTACCATTAGCTTTTGTTATTCATGAAAATGAAAACATAACTTTTCTATTGACCTGTCTTCAAAGATAGCACCTTGTCATGTATTTTATCCTAATAGCCAGAATTTGATTCAGAGTCAAGTAGGCAGTAACTTTACTTGAGGCAGAGCTTAGAAGTTGCCATGATAATATTATCTTTGGAAACCTTCTTTACAGTTTCCCATCCTGTAAAGCAGAGTTCAGTCTAGTGCTCAAAATTCTAAGAACCCTTATTTATTGGCTTATGTGATTCCCTAGAATAAAAATTCTCCCAGATGTGTTTTTATGTTTATATTGCTATTTATGTTTCTGTTTCCCTTTTAGTCTTTAGCACTGTTAGACTCCATAAAATTGTTTTCTAGTCACTATGTTAGTCTACATTTTTTTTTTTTTTTGCTATGTTGTAACATAATATGCAAACCAAGAAAACTCTGCACTGGATCTGTGACCAATAAGTGCTTTTTAATAATGATGGTGATAATGATAATAATGACAATGATAATATCTTCACAGACAAGAAATCATTTCTCCAGTACCCGGGAAGAGATGGAAGAACTTAAGAAAAGGATGAAGGAAGCTCCCCAGACATGCAAACTTCCAGGACAGCCTACCATCGAAGGCTATCTCTATACACAAGAGAAATGTGTGTGGGAATACAAAGATACCCACTGGGTTTCAGTAGGCTAGCACCTACTGCCACTTGGCTTCTCCAAACTCCAGGCACCCATATTGTTTACAGACCCCTGACAACTACACCTCTTTGGAGAAGAGTCTGGGAATAGTGAAAAAAAGAAAAGGAAGGAGAAATTGGAGGGGGAGGTTAAGGATTTGTCTTCCAAAGACTTTGGGTTGATAGGATCTAAGGTTTTTCTCTGTGATTCAAAATGGGGATTGTTAATTGTTTAATCCTTCTGATGACTGTGACTGGGGAAAAAAAGGAGGTAGGGGAAAGGAGGCAGAAAAATAATATTTATTACACCTACTATGTACCAGGCATGGTGCTAAGTGCTTTAAATATACTATCTCATTTAGTCTTTAAAAGCGCTTATCATACCCATTTTCCTTGAGGCCGTGGAGGCTTAGAGAGATCACTAGTTGAAAGTTACCCAACTATATGTTGGCTAATTGAACATAATTAAAAAAAAGGCAAAAAAAAGAGAAAGTTACCCAACTGTCAAGTAGCAAGCCTAAGAGTAAACTCAGTTCTGTGAAATGCCAAAACCTTTGCTCCTGTCACTACACCCTATACCTTCCACTGTCTTAGGAGCACATGTTTGCTCTTAAAGCACTAAACAACAACCGTTGTGATTTCAGTGAGCAAGACAGTTGTTCATTGCTAACCAAGGACCACGGGTTAACTTATCCATTCACTGAATATTGCAGAGTATTTAAGCCTTCCTGCTTCCTAAATTACATTATGAAAATCTGTATGTGCTCTTTGATTTTCCTTATGAACTATGACCCAGTGCTCCCAAAGCCTGTGATTTCGGCCCTGCCCAGAATTATTATACCTGAGAAGAAGAGGCAAAAGAGGCTATTCAGATGTTACCAGTGGCAAAAACTACTGCAATTCACAAAGCATGGCATTTAAGCAATGATATTATCATCTTTTCTTCTCTTAGAGAAATTAACTTTTGGTGGTTTTCAAAGATATGTTCTTCCACCTTTCAGGTTTATCTCTTCAACTCTGCATTGCAGAATTTCTCAATCTCAGTGCAACTGACATTTTGGGCTGGGGGATCATGTACATTATAGGGTATTTAGCAGCATCTATGGCCTGTCCTCACTTTATTCTAATAGCACTCTATAGGTGTGACAATCTAAAATGTCTCCAGACATTGCCAAATATCTCTTTGGCAAAATTGCCCTTGGTTGAGAACTACTACTGTATTATAAAAGATGTGGGAATAATGATTTTGTAATCTTGGCTGTAATATCAACTAGCTACATGGTCCTCCTGTGCCCCAGTTTCCTAATTTGTCAAATGGATATGACGTTGCTATTCAGTTGAATGTTTATCGAGCATACTTTTTGCCAGACAATATGCAGTGCATTGGGGATTTTAAAAAAATGAACCGATCTTGGTTTTGCCTCCAAGAAGTTCATAGTCTGATGAGGAAGGCAGACAACTATATCAAGAATTATGAGGAAATGTGTTGAGTACTGCATTTGGGGCATGTATCTAAGGGCTTCACTGAGGAAGCAATGTTTGAATTAGGACTTGAATTATGAGTGGAAGTTTGATAGGCAAAAAAAGGGGGAAAGAAAAACTCCAGTTATACACCATTGCATGTTACTCAGGCACAAAGGTGTGTGAGGATGTAGTTTATTTGCAGGGTCTTAGTTTGCCAAGAATAGCCCCGGTTTACACTTGTCATCCTGATGTGATTATTAATAGTGACCCATTCACTCTTAAGTATGTATTGAATTTGGACTAAAAATATATGGCCACCTATTTATTTGGTAAGTGAAAGTAATTCAATGAGACAGGATCATAGAGGGTGGCAAAAGACAAAGTAGGAAAGGTAAATATGATCATATTATGAAGGGTCTTGTGGGCCAACCTGAGTTTAGAGACAGTGGGAAAGCCATGCATGATTTATAAGAAAAATTATATAAAGAGAAATAAATATTAAAAAAAAATTCCTTTAACTAAAGAATGGAGAATGGACTAGAAAGGAGTGATCAGAAATGGGGGAAATCAGAGAGAAGGCCACTGTCATAATTAATTAGTGAAATGGTGAATTTTTATTTTGTTTGAAGTAGATCATAAAACATTACAAGTAATTCAGCAATAGGGCCCTGAACTAATTCAGTTCTAAAAGGGATGGAGAGGAGGAAGCAGCTGAAGGAGAGACATGTGGGGAAAAGAATGAGCCAACCACCAATCAAATGGGACAGGTTACAGGGAAGAAGAAGCAGAAGATTACAGATCTTTCCAACTCATACAATAGGATGAACAGTAGAAGCATTTAGAAGGGACATGGCAAGAAAAGCTATTTGGAGCAAGCTAGAGCAAATGTGGAAAGCATTTGATGAGGATTAGGATCTCTATATGTGCTGTGGGTCGATAGCCCACAGGGTTGGAGTTCAGGGGAAGGTTAGAGCTAGATCTGAAGCCCTATGACTATGAAGAGCAGACTATAGCACTTCCATCTTAGGAGTGTATTGACCATATAGCCCAATGGATATAGTCTATCAGCTGACTTTTGCCTATCATTGTAGGGGCTTTGGGAATATCCTGGGTGAAATATTACTGCCAGTATGAGAAGGAGACCAAAACGCTCACCATGACACCTATGGAGCAGAAGCCAGGTGCTAAACAGGTCAGTTCTTTTGTGTGCCATATTTTTTTGAAATGCATCTGTGACTGCATCTCAGAAAAGAGTATATTTTGACTTAGTGTCAAAGAATCAAGTCCATCACTGTCATGTGAAGCCATGACTCTGTGTGTTCCTCTTGACCTAAGTTTGCATTGGGCCAGATACTACTCAGTTGAGTGAAATATATCTATTAATTATGTCAAGCCTTCTGAAAGTGCTTGTACTTTCTCAGATCATTGAATTATTACAAGTGCTTGTCCATTGTACAAGAAAATTTGCAAGAATATGGATGAATTGCAGGAAGATAGTGTGACCTGCTTTTAAGAAGTCCTACTTCTTAGGATTCTTAGGATTCCTTTAAATAGCTAGTGTTTAAAATATCATTTTCCAAAATTCCTTTTTTAGAGAAGTATGTCTGTTTCCTAAAGTTGGAATAACCTATACCCCATATTCTATGTAATGTTCGGATATATTTAAGCAGGTAATACTTCTTCTGTCCTCCAAACCTTCCCTATCCCCTAAAATGTCAAGATGAGTTTAACACACTAAGAAGATACTTACCTGGAAGAACCTAATCTTATATATTACATACTATACTGTACTTACTGTACTATACTATATATATGACCACACAGCCAAAAAATGTTATTCTGTCAATCTCACTTTCGCCTATCTTTGTAGAGGCTTTGGAAATTCTCTCTCTCTCTCAAGGGTTTATTAAGATAAAAGCTGATAGATAGACTGTTCATATTCTAAAAGTAGTTTAGTGTGTACCTTAAATTGTCTCTCAGACTGGGTCTTAAGGCATGATTTTAAGGATTTCTATTATTTACAAATTGTTTACAAGTCCAGCAGGGTTCATTTGTTAGCACTGAACCTTGGTGGTGCGAGAAGACCCAATTTGGTAGGCAGAAATTTGGAGAAAAATTGGACCAATTTGTCTCCATTGCTGGTGCTTTCCATGGAAGATCTCTCTTGTGTGGCTTGTTCACAGAGAATTAGAGAGGACTGAAATTTGGTGTCAGGCTATAGAAAACTGCCTTTTTTGTCTTGAGCCAAAAATTTTGTCACTCGGCTTTTAACGTGTATTGGAGATGGAATGCACCTCTAATGAAGTGTACCAAATGGGGTCTCCAGAACCCTCATCCATGCTTCTCTATGGGCCAGTTACTCATTCCTGACTCCAAAACTCTTACTAGTTTCCAGTCTGTTAATTGCCAAAGTACCTTTCAATGTGGTTTCAATAAATTTATCTTGTGCTCTGTCACAGAATTTTTTCCATTTCTGTCAGAACTTAGCTATGTATTTTACTGGCTAGTGCTTATAAGCACTGTCCTGTAGTTTCTTCCTTTTCTTCTCCTACACACATTACTTTCCCAGTCCCAGACTTTAAAGTAAGCTGATTTAGGCCCTTTCTCTCCTGCTCAGGCACCTACTACAAAGCTCAAGACAGAAGCAGACATACTACTTTCATATCCTCCTACGAGATGAGCACAAGCTCTCCTTTTAGTTTTTCTTTCCTTCTTCCCTTTTCATTGAGTGGCTGCTTGTAAAATTGCAATAGTGTCAGCCTAAGCGGTTTTAATTTGGGATTCCTTATGGAGTGGAAAGAGGAACTTGTTTCTCTATTTAGAAGGAAGGGAAGGTAAAGTAGTAACTTGAATTTCCCTAAAATGAAGTTGGAAATAATTTCTTCTTGTCAGTTCTCTCAGTTCCTATTACTGGTTTGCATTTTAGAAAGGTAAATAATACAAGTAAGTGTGACTATAATAACACCATAAAATCCACTATTTATTGAACATCTACTGTGTACCAGGCACTGAGCTAGACACTTTTCGGCATGTGCCTCATTTACTTTCCCAGTAGCCCTGTCAAGTATTAATAGTTCAATTTGAAGATGGCGGAATTAGCCCTCTTTCTGACTATGGTACTTACCAGTGTTACCTACTCGTTCAGCCTATCAACTTCCACTTGTGTTGTGCTGCTCATTTTACAGATTATCTTCCCAAATTATGTTTTATAAGATCCCCATCATCTCCCTGTCAGGCAGTTGTGGTAAGAGGAAAGAGTGCTGTATTTTTATAGACTTTCAACAACTGGGTTTAAATCCTAGCTCTGTGGCCTAGTAGCTTTTTGACCCCAAGTAAATTATGTAATGTTACTCAGTATCATTTTCCTCATCAGAAAAATGGCAAGAATGATATTGTAGTTCATAAAAATTTCTTGGGCACTAACTCTTTCCTAGACCCTAGAGATATAAAGATAAATAAGATGCTGCCCATGCCCTTGAGTTCTCAGTCAATTGGGGAAATAAGGCATGAAAACAGGAAGTTTTAATAGAATGCACAAAACACGTAGTGAGCAGTGTATGGGATTGGGGAAGAATATTGGAGGAAATGAAAGCTGAACTGCAATTTGTAGAACAATTAAGAGTTTAGCCAGACCAAGAATATAGATAAAGTCATTGCAGGTGGAGGAAACATTATTTACAGTTATGGAATCATGAGAGTTATGACATGTGTGAAATGAGAGCACTTTTGCATGGATGAAGCATAAAACAGATGGGGGTGGCTAGAGGTAACCTGGAGTAATAGACAGGGCCTAGGCCCCTGAGCTATGATGCCTTTGACTCTGAGGGAGTTGAGAGTTTAAAGAGGGGGGGTGAGTATATAATGCTGTTAGTTACTGTCTTCTTGAAAGCCTAGTAATTCTTGATACCCTCAGTATTGGGGTAAAGAAGGCAGATTGGAGGATGAAATTAGAGTTGAGTTTTTATACTGTAGGAACAGCAAAAGGATAGGCCTGAAGGGGGGTTGAGTGTGCCAATAAGAAAGAAGTATTGTGTGCAACTAATGAATTGTTGAACACTGCATCCAAAACTAATGATGTATTATATATTGGCTAATTGAACATAATAAAAAAATAAAATGCAAAAAGAAGTATTGTTTGATCAGTTGGATCAACTGTATGGACCAGTTTGGATGGCATAGTACCTAGACCCAGACCTGGCACTTGGGAAGTGTTTCTGAATTTCTGGCAGCTAGATGGTTAGCATTTTCCCCATTTAATAGATTGTGAAGTTAAGATTCAGAGAGGAAAACGGTTTGCCCTGGATTGTAAGCTAGTAAATGGCATAACTGAGACAAAGCCCAGGTTTTAAACTTCCTAGTTTATTACTATTTCTACTCTACCGACTCGGGTGACTTTGGGTAAGCCATTTTACCTCTCTGAGCTTCACTTCTCTCTAAGGGTTGTTATGAAGAAAGTTGATTTAAAGATACCTAGCATAATGTGTGGCAAATAGTAGGTAATTGATCAATCTTACTTCTCTTTCCTATACCACACTGTCTCTGTTGAGATAATAGAGGGAAACTGAACAATGTGGGATTGGGAAATTTTAATCTGTGGACACTGGACTTCAGTGGCCTTATTAAGTGCCCATAAGACTAAGGTGGGCTACACTATTCTGCATATATGAAATATCAAATGGAACTTTGAGTAATATATAAATTTGCTCATTTTCTCTACTCCTGCCCTATCTTTGGAGAGATTGCTTTTGTGATTCCTGTCTTCCTGAAGAGTCTGGAGGTGGGGAATGAAAATGTTTCTCTCCCGTCCTCCATCTGCCAATTTAATAGAAGGAGGGTCGCATAAAGCCACTCCCAACCTGGAAGTTTTATGAAAATTTTATTCGATACACTTAATGCCATTTGGTCAACCCATTTGTCCTACATTCCCCTTATATTATGTATAATGAGCTTCCTATTTAATCTACCGTGCTTGGAAAACAGTACTGACCTACCCTGAGCATTTTGTCCTGGTCTCAACCATTAATTATTGGAGCAAGAAGAAACCATCTGCTGCAAATACTGTTTGAAGGGACAAGGTTCTCAGTGAGGCTAAACATTACTTCTGCTGCCCTGACAGATGCCTTCCAAGTGGCTGAGGCTACTGCAGGAGGCAGAAGAAGCTTCTGTGCATTTTCTTTTCAAATTGGCTATTAATCCTTCTCTTGTATCAGGGGCCTTTGGACTTAACCCTGAAGTACTGCGTGAGGAGGAAGACAGAGTCTATCGACAAAAGGTTCTGTTTTGATATAGAAACTAATGAAAGGTAAGCTGTGCTGGTATGAACTGGTAATGTTCTCATGTGCCAGGTGCTGAGCCTGAGTAGATCTTTTATTTTCCTCTGTCCTCTCTTGTGATGAAAATGAGCAAATCTGTTCTTGACATCATTGTTTCGGCTCTTCTGGCTGCTAGTCACAGGAATCCCTGTTAGACCTGGCCCAGAGCTGGTTTTCCCTGTGGGAACTTCAGCCAGCTTTGCCTTACCTGCTCTAGGCAGAATAAGTCATTCCTAGGATTTAATTTGCTGTCAGATATGCTGCAACGGTCAACGTTTGGTGATGCTGCAAAGACAGCATAACAAAACTCATTCTTTTTTTTTTGGTATCAAGTTTTTATTTAAATTCCAGTTAGTTAACATATAGTATGATATTAGTTTCAGGAGTCGAATTTAGTGATTCATCACTTATATACAACACCCAGAGCTCATCATCACAAGTGCACTCCTTAATGCCCATCACCCATTTAACCCACCCCCCACCACCCCACCAGCAACCCCAGTTTGTTCTCTATAGTTAAGAGTCTGTTTCCTGGTTTGCCTCTCTTTTTTTCCCCTATGTTCAACAGCTTTGCTTCTTAAATTCCACATGAGTGAAATCATATGGTATTTGTCTTTCTCTGACTGAATTATTTCACTTAGCATAATATATTCTAGCTCAATCCACGTTGTTGCAGATGGCAAGATCTCATTCTTTTTCATGGCCGGGTAATATTCCTGTGTGTGTGTGTGTGTGTGTGTGTGTGTACACTAGATCTTCTTTATCCATTCATCAGTCGATGAACACTTGGGCTCTTTCCATAATTTGGCTATTGTTGATAATGCTGCTATAAACACGAGGGTGCACGTATTCCTTCACATCGGTATTTTTGTATCCTTTGGGTAAATACCTAGGAGTATAATTGCTGGATCATAGGGTAGCTCTATTTTTAACTTTTTGAGGAACCTTCATACTGTTTTCCAGAGTGGCTGCATCAATTTGCATTCCCACCAGCAGTGTAAGAGGGTTCCCCTTTCTCGACATCCTTGCCAATACATGTTGTTTCCTGTGTTGTTAATTTTAGCCATTCTGACAGGTGTGAGGTGGTATTTCATTGTGGGTTTGATTTGCATTTCCCTGATGATAGTGATGTTGAGCATCTTTTCATGTGTCTGTTGGCCATCTGTATATATGTCTTCGATGGAAAAATGTCTATTCATGTCTTCTGCCCATTTCTTAACTGGATTATTTGTTCTTTGGGTGTTGAGTTTGATGAGTTCTTTATGGATTTTGGATACTAGCCCTTTATCCGTGATGTCATTTGCAAGTATCTTCTCCCATACAGCAAAACTCATTCTTTTATCTCCTAATATAAGATACAAGAACAAGTGAATTAAAACACATTTTTAAGGGGAGATAGAAAGGATGGAAGATGGTAGTGGTATTGGGGAGTCTTTTTTTCCCCACTTGGTGGAAACATGATACAGACTTCCCCTACTTTGCAGGTATACTGGAAATAGTTTGATTATCAACTTTCTGATTTCAGCTAAGGCTTTCAAACTTTGTACTTTGTTGCATTTGTTTCTCTCCAGTATCCTCTTTTTGTTTTCTGGAACTGGGCAGTTTCATCAGAGGTGAATTTAACCTTGAAATTTTAAAATGAGAGCATTTGGAGTTACTTTGGAGAAAAGCATATTGTGTAGTTGAGAGGTTGATCCAAAATTCAGTGAATGAATATTCCTATATGTTATTTTGGTCTATTATTTCTATGTGTTAGGTACCACATAGTAGAATAGAATTTAACAAAACAGTCAGATTCCTAGAAAGGGACTTAAAGGTTGAATTACAATATCATATGAACTAAACTATCAATGACTGGAATCATAAAGATTATACTAAGAGATGAGGGCTTTTATTTATTTATTTTTTAGTCTGGAAATAAGTAAAAAGTCCTTTTCCCCATTTGAAATTCTGTTTGTTAATCCATATGATTTCTTTGTTAGAAATGGATGGTCCTGACCAAAGATGGTTGTGATGGTAAACATTGTTACTGGTAACCATGCAGCTGTCCCTCATTTTTCCAACAGCTTCAGGCCTAGTTGGAAGGGGGAACTATACTCCTGTTTACTGCAAAAAATGACTATTGGCTGTGGCTTCTCTTTCATGAACCTTTATTGTCTCTCGCTCTGCAGCATCACGGTGCTTAAAAGAAATTAAAATTTTCTGTGTCTAGTTTCATTGTGGTTCCCTTTTCAGCTTAAATTTGCAAGCTATTTGCAAATAATATCCCCGTAGACTTAAAGCAGTTGCAGACAATTTGGCCCTGAGATTATGTGCTGGGACCAGTTTATCATCATATATCTTGCACCTAGTGCTATACATGGCTCATGATAGGTACTGAATTTGGTGTTTATTTTTTATTTATTTATTTTTTTAAGATTTTATTTATTTGAGAGAGAGAATGAGAGAGAGAGCATGAGAGGGGTGAGGGTCAGAGGGAGAAGCAGGCTCCCCGCCGAGCAGGAAGCCCGATGCGGGACTCGATCCAGGGACTCCAGGATCATGACCTGAGCTGAAGGCAGTCGCTTAACCAACTGAGCCACCCAGGCGCCCTTGGTGTTTATTTTTAAATGTATTTTCCCACCCCATAACACTGAGGAATTCTGAGACTAGAACCCAGGAATTAAAGCTTTGGTGTGTCTGTGATTTTAGTTACCACATATTAGGCTCTTAAAAAACATTCACTCACTTAATCCCCCTCCCCCATTTTACTGGTGAGGGGACTGAGATTTGAATATGTTAAGTTACTTGCCCAAAGTCATACAGTGGCAAGGCTGAGCACAAACACTCGTTTGTAGGTCTCCAAAGTCCATGTTGTTGTTTTTTTTTAATTTTGTTCCATTGTCTTATTTTTATTTTTTTTTTTTTAAAGATTTTATTTTTTTTTTTTATTTATTCATGAGAGACAGAGAGAGAGACAGAGGCAGAGGGAGAAGCAGGCTCCCCGTGGAGCAGGGAGCCCGATACGGAACTCCATCCCAGGACCCCGGGATCATGACCTGAGCCGAAGGCAGACGCTTAACCGACTGAGCCACCCAGGCGTCCCTGTTCCATTGTCTTATAAGGAGAATAAACATGCTGTGAAATAAAGGGTCAAGTATAATAATGAACAGGTGCTGAGGTACCTCTGTGCACATGAGGTTTTCTGAGGAGTGTGGCATCTGCTTTCCTGGCTAGTAAATCTGATAGAAGAAACAAAGTCAGCATTCCCAGCAAGCATCAGTCACCCATACTCATGTCCCTGTAGCACAGAGAGCTAAGGACTCTTTGAGTCCCTTTTACTCTCTCAGGAATCGAGGGTAACTATTTTTTTTAATTAGTTTTGCTGCCATGGTGCCTAGGTGGCTCAATTGGTTAATAAGCCTCTGCCTTTGGCTCGGGTCATGATCCTGGGGTCCTGGGATCGAGCCCCGCATTGGGCTCCTCGCTCAGCAGGAAGCCTGCTTCTCCTTCTCCCTCTGCCTGCCGCTCCCCCTGCTTCTGCTCTCTCTCTCTATTTTATAAAATAGATAAAATCTTTAAAAAAAGTAAATAATTAGATTTGCTGCCAATATTTGAAACCACAGGCTTATAGCTCATAGAACCTGAAGTGCAATAATAATAATAATAATAATAATAACCTAACAACAGCTGCTAACATTGGCCTATGTACCAGGCACTATTCTCAGCCCTTGAAGAGTATAATTTCCTTTAATCCTCACTCAGTTCCCTGAGGTATGGGGTGTTATCCCAATTTCACAAAGGAAGACAAGGAGACAGAGAGAAATTAAGCAACTTAGGTAACACAGCAAATGGTAGAGCCAGGATCCAAATCCAGGAATTCTGGTCTTCAAACCCACACTCTTAACCATTGCACTGTACTGCACATATGCAATATATGTCTTTTTGTTCTGGATGAGTGACTGGGGCCTCAGGAAGGGCAAGGATTTGCCTAAGGTCATAAAGATAGTCAATGGAAGATCCTGGACTAGAAGTCAATGTTCTTTCTACTTTGTCATCCAGTTCTTATAAATATTATTCTGTGAATTTGACTTTCTGTGGTACCCAAGAATCTTCAAATGCTTCTTGAATAGTCACTTATTCATTCTTTCGGCCTCTCTGTAGGGTTAAGAGAGGACACGCACTGGATTTTTCATTTCCTAGATAGGGAAGTTCCAGAATGTGTTTAATGTCATATCTGGTCTGTACTGTCTGCTTTTATATCTGTTGCCCATTTCCTTGTTCTTCCTCTGGCTTCAGGATTCAGCTGGCTAGCTGTCTTTACAAAGATTTCTAGACTTTCTAGCCCCATGTGATATACCCAAAAAGTTGGTTATTTGTTAGAGTAAACTTGAAAGAATCCAGTGCCCAAAGCCAAGTCCTGGTTTTCAGTTGATTTTGTCTTAATGATCATTTGGGGGTTTTCCTTTTTAAGATGTACTTTAATGGAGTAAAAGATGGAAAGTCAAATAGGCATCCCATGATATCAAAACTGGAAGGGACCTCCCAGCTCATCTGGTCCAACACCGTTAAGGATAAAGAAACTGAGGCCCATAGAGACCCAGTTACTTTTCCAGGCTCTCTGAACTCTCTTGTCATTGTTCTTACCATTCCATGACTCTGAGAGAGGTCTTAACAGAAGGAGTTAAGAGGAACCAGTTTCTCATAATGGTGCAGATATACAGATAATGCAAGGAGACTTTATATCTGCAATAATATGGTCAATCTGAAAATTCTCAGTTTGGTTGTGAAAGTCTAAAAAGACCGTACAGAGTATACCAACTTGGAGTATCTCTGGCTATAGGTAGCCTACAAGTAAATAGAAAAAAAAAATGGGTTTGAGGCCATCTCTGATGGAGAAAAGGCCTTGTAGCATGGTGGTTAAGAAAGAACATGGCTGTTGGACCAGAATTCCTAAATTTAAATCCTGGCTCTCTACTTACCCACTGTGTGAACTTAGGGAACAACTCGGTGCCTCAGTTCCCCTTCTGTAAAATAGGGATTCCTATATGGTACCTGCTTTATAGGTTCCTGGGTAGATTACATGAATTTATACCTATAAAGTACTTAGAACAGAACCTGGTACCTAATGAGCATTCAGTAACTGTTATTATTTAGTCATAAGATTGCTTAAGTCAGCCAAAAGGCCTCCTCCCTGTGCTGAGCCAGCGTGCATGTTGTTGAATTCTCTCCAGCTGGAAATACTCTTTGGACATCATAGATGGGGGAGGTAGGAAAGCCATTTTTTTGGGGGGGGGGTGGGGATGGATGAATGTGCCCGTGCTGAACATGCTTACTCCTAGAGCCAAGACCAAACTGCTGGCTTCCAAGAGAGAAAGGCAAAGAGAGCCATAGTTTGTCTCAAGTACAATGGAGCCAATTTAAGTGTGTATTATGGTGAGGTGTCTTGGCATCTACCTTCCTATTTCCTTGCCTGACCCTGGCATGAGGCTGCCAAGATACCATCTCCCCTAGGGTTCCCAAAGTTACTGCTCTCTAAATGTTTCATTGTTTTTTTTGAGTAAAAGAGATTTTGAAAAATTGGAATTCTCTATGTGCCTGCTCAGTGTGACACCTCCCAGGGCTGAGAGGGACCCTAGATCACAAGACTTCATTTTCTCAGGTGAGTTTTCTACTTTTAACTTGTCCTCTTTTTCCCCTTAGGCCAGGAACCATCACTTTGCAGGCCCTTTCAGAAGCTAACAGAAGGCTATGGATGGAGGCTATGGATGGAAAAGAACCCGTAAGTTACCTCAGGAAACTAGAGAAACCTCAGCACCATAATCCAGTGTGTGAGTGCCCTGAGTGGTACCAGTGGGTCTAGGACAATTAAATAGTCAGATTGTCAGACTCAAAATTTTAGAGCTAGAAGGAATTGTTGACTTGATATTTCTTGCTTAAAAAGTAAGGCAATTTGAGTTCCAGAGGGTGAGGGACTTCTCTGGGCTTACTCTCAGAAAAGGCATAACAGCTGGGCCTAGAATCCAGGTTTCTCAGCTTCTTGCTGCAGTGTTAGATGATGCAGCTGTGCCCACAAGATCTTCTTAAGAAAGAAAATTAAGCCTTTTTTCAGTTTATACAACATATGTGTTCATATAGAAAGATGGAAAATAATTGTCATAACTGAATAAGCCTCAGTTTCCTTTTATTTTTATTAATTTTTTAAAGGTTTTATTTATTTATTTGACACTGAGAGAGAGAGAACAAGCAGAGGGAGCTGCAGAGGGAGAGGGAGAAGCAGGCTTCCCACTGAGCAGGGAGCCCGATGCGGGGCTTGATCCCAGGATCCTGGGATCATGACCTGAGCCAAAGGCAGACGCTTAACGACTGAGCCACCCAGACACCCCCAAAAATACCTTGTTTATAAAATTGGCAGCAAGGGCTGGTCGGCATAGAAATCTCCCTCATTGAAATATCCCTGGGCATACACACAGATGCAGATAATTTTCTTTTAAAAGGAGAGATTGTTAAAGCAGACTAACAGGTGCCATATAGAAGGCTTATTTCCTGCAGTTTCACATTATTATTGTTCCTGCTTCACTAAACACCCCAATTCACTAATCTTATACATAGTATACATGCCTTTGTTTAAAGTGTCAAAGAAGATCAGGACTTCAAGGGACATCTACTCCAATCCTGATCATTTTAGAGATCTGAATTTTGAAGTGTAGAGAATGAAAAGGACATGCCTGAGATTTCATAATGAGGTAGAGGTGGAGCCTGGACTAGACTTCGTCAAGGATCTCCTCTTTGGTTTCTCACACAGCTATCATAGTGTGTACTTCAATATGACTCAGACAAATCTTGATCAATGCATGGATCTCTTTCAGTTGGACACTTGCTTTTCTACAGAGAAACACCCATTAGTTAGCCTTTGGGGTAGGAGGTTGGTATTGGGAATATTTACATTTTACCATCAATGCCCATTAGCCATATATCCATTAGAAAACTATTTCTTTTCTCTCATGCTCTCTTGCTCCATCAGAAAAATTCTCCAAGCTTTACATAAGTAAATCTCTAAGATGGGTAGGCTGCAGTGAGCTACTTGGAATCTGCTGTAGTCTTCAGAGATTGTTAATCCAAGTGTTTTCTAGGGACCTAGGCAAAGATCATTCTGTTTAGCCCACTTTTCATCTTATTAAAGCTTTAGAGTCGCTAATGGTTTTGATGGACTATCTGGGGAAAGAGATTTAGTATTATTCGCCATACTTACCTATAGTGATTCCCAATAGCCATGGCTTTTTCTTTCTCTTTTTTTTGTAGATCTACCACAGCCCCATAACAAAACAGGAAGAAAGTGAGTCAAATTTATGATCTATTGACATTACAAACTGCTAGCTGTCCTAATCACAGTTAATACTATCATCAATAATATGTAATATTGATGCAAGTGTGTTTATTGATTCCTCTGTGGAATAAAATTCAGACCTATTTTTTTAATATGTCTACTTATTGAAATAAGGAAGTCACTTTATCTTAGCTTATGGTGTGGATAGTAATAGTAATATAGAGAAGAACATTATATCTTTCTTGTTCTAAACACAAAGTAGAAATTATGTGCATTTCCACCCTAACATTTCATGTTTGATGTTGCTCATGTCTAAAACAAACATAATACAATGGAATCACTAAAAGCATTTTGTGTTGTAAGAGTAAAAACTCTATATTTCCCCTAAAAAAAAAAAAAAGATCTTTCTATTTAAGGGTATTGGAGATGAAAAACCATACCCCTTATTCTCTCACTGCAGTCTCTTAGCATGATCAATAAATGTTTGGTAGGTAAAGCTTGTTATAGCAGGATCTAACTCTGTTTTCCTTTGTTTGAAACAGTGGAGCTGAATGAAGTGGGGTTCAAGTTTGTTAGGAAGTGCATCAATGTCATTGAGACCAAAGGTAAGACATGAACCAGAGTGTTGGCGGTGTTTGAATTTGGTCACTCTGAATTTATTCTGGGGCAATTTCTCTAAAGTAGCAATGATGTCATTTGTTGGTCAGGACTCGTTTTAGCAATGAAGACTATTTATGAACCTTGAACATGAGACACAAATTTCTAAAATTCCAGCAAATTCCAAGCCAGTGGTATCCAAGCATATTGGGATAATTTGCGGTTCCCTGCTTTTAAAGAGAAAGAGCTTAATTAATCAAATGGTACAAAATTCTAAGTTATGCAAGATAATTATGTCCTAGAGATCTGCTGTACAGCATAAAGCTGTAGTTAACAATACTGTATTGCAGACTTAAAAATGTTCTAAGATGGTAGATCTTGTGTTAATAGTTCTTATCACAAAAAAAATAATAATGAATAAAGAGGGCCACAGAAAAGTTTTAGAGGTGATGGATGTGTTTCTGCATAGACTGTGGTGATGGTTTCATTTATCTCCAAACTCACCAAGTTGTATATATTAAATATGTACAGCCTCTTGTATTTAAAAAAAAATAAAGAGAAAGAGCTTCAAACAGCTTATAAAGTATTCTAAAATACTACTGGGCACTCCTCAAATAGTGTTATGACAGTTCCATTGCAAATAAATAAGAGTTCCATTTCTGCCACAATACATATCAGTTTAAAAAGCTGAACTCAGACAAATATGGAATCAGTGTTTTCCCAGGTTAATGATACTTCTAGTTTCTCTCTGAGAATATTTAGAATGTGGGCAAGTAGTATATGAGCCAAGCCTCTTTATTCTTTGAAATGTTGCTAGAATTTCTCTATATGCAAAATGGCCTTTTTGTTTCACATATGCCATATTCCATCCCTTTCTTCCTTTATATCACTGTTCACAAGCAACTCGGAGGTTGATATTTCCTCCTTTTTCAATTAAACCCTAGCTCCCTTTTTCAATTAAACCCTATTCTCAGCCACCTGCTGCTACCCACCTAAGCATATTTTTCTATTTACTATAGAGTATATTCTCTTCTGTTCACATTAATGAAATCTTGGTATAATCCAAATGAAAGTATGGAGAGAATAATTTGGAGAGAGGCTTCAAAACAGTTCCCCTGTTGCAGGGGAAGGCTGGGGAGCTTACAGAGGGTAGGGAGACACTTTCCTATTTGAACTGACACCAGGGTGTAAGTACCTACTTTCTCAACCCTGAGGAAAGTGAAAGCTCTAGCTATGGAAACAAAACTGACCTCAGTTTCTTTCCCTAGGGATCAAGACAGAGGGATTATACCGTACTGTGGGCAGCAACATTCAGGTTCAGAAGCTGCTGAATGCCTTTTTTGGTAACAATTTTAATTTCATAATTCTTATTGGAAATTGTGTATTAAAAATAAATGTCTATAAGAGAAAGGAGACATTGCTAAAAAAGGTTGTAGAATGTTTAAGAAATATTTTCAAAGGAAAAATGTATGCATATTTGCCTACCCAGGCTCAGAGACAATCTTGCCTTGAAACAACTAGCATCTCTCCTTTTCCACATCATATTGACACCTCAGAACCTTTGCAATCTGGCTTCTACCCCAACCTCTCCACTAGAACTACTTTTGCCAGGCTTAGAAGGTATCTTCTGTGAAATCCAGTGGACAATTTTCAGACTCTTGTCTTGCTGGATCTCCTTGTTGACTATTCCCTCCTTTTTGAAACTTTCTCCCTAATGTGACTTCTGTGACTCAACATCTTGTGACTTTTCTAAAATCTTGTATTAAACCTTTCAAGTGACTCTTGTCAGGTCCTTTTTCTTCTTCTCATCTTCTAAATCTTGGCTGGGTATTTTCCAGCATTCCATCTTTGCCACCCTTTGCTTCTTCCTCTACATATATTCCTAATGAATAAATATTAACTTGGTAATGCATGACATTTTTTTCCCTTTTTACATGTCTAGTGATTTTTAAAGTTTTTATTCAAATTCCAGTTAGTTAACGTACAGTGTAATAGTAGTTTCACATGTATAATATAGTGATTCAGCACTTCTGTATAACACCAATTGCTCATCACAAATATAATCCTTAATCCCCGTCACCTGTTTAACCTATCCCCCTACCCACCTCCCCTCTGATAACCATCACTTTGTTCACTACAGTTGAGTCTATTCTTGGTTTGCCTCTCTCTTTTTTTCCCCCTATGCTCACTTGTTTGGTTTCTTAAATTACACAAATGAGTGAAATCATATGGTATTTGTCTTTCTCTGACTGACTTATTTGGCTTAGCATAATGCTCCCTAGCTCCATGCATGCAGTTACAAATGGCAAGATTTCATTCCTTTTTGATGGCTGAGTAATATTCCATTGTGTATATAGACCACATCTTCTTTATCCATTCAACAGTCAATGGACATTTGGGTTCCTTCCATATTTTGGCTTATATTCATAGTACTGCTATAAACATTGGGGTGCTTATACTTTGAATTAGTATTTTTTGGGTAAATACCCAGTAGCACAATTGCTAGATCATAGGGTAGTTCTATTTTAAACTTTTTGAGGAACCTCCGCATGGTTTTCCAGAGTGGTTGCACCTCTTTGCATTCCCACCAACACTGCAAGAGGGTTCCCCTTTATCTACATCCTTGTCAATACCTGTTGTTTCTTGTGTTGTTAATTTTAGCCATTCCGACTAGTGTGAAGTGATATCTCATTGTAGTTTTGATTTGTATTTCCCTGATGATGAGTGATGTTGAGCATCTTTTCATGTGTCTGTTGGCCATCTATTTGTCTTCTTTGGAAAAATTTCTACTCATGTCTTCTGCCCTTTTTTTTAAACAATTATTTGTTTTTTGAGTGTTCAGTTTTATAAGATCTTTATAGATTTTGGATACTAACCCTTTATCAGATATGTCATTTGCAAATACCTTCTCCCATTCCATAGGCTGCCTGTTAGTTTTATTGATCATTTACTTTGCTGTGCAGAAGCTTTTTATTTTGGTGAAGTCCCAACAGTTTATTTTTGCTTTTATTTCCCTTGCCTCAGGAAAACATATCTAGTAAGAAGTTGCCACGGCTGATATAAAAGAGGTTACTGCCTGTGTTCTTCTCTAGGATTTTGATGGTTTCCTGTCTCACATTTAGGCCTTTACTCTATTTTTATTTTTGTGAATGGTGTAAGAAAGCATTCCAGTTTCATTCTTTTTCATGTAGATTACCAGTTTTCGCAATACCATTTGTTGAAGACACCGTCTTTTTTCCATTGATTTTCTTTCCTGCTTTATTGAAGATTAACTAACCATACAGTTGTGGGTACATTTCTAAGTTTTCTATTCTGTTCCATTGATCTGTGTGTCAATTTTTGTGCCAGTACCATACTGTCTTGATCCCTTCAGCTTTGTTATATAACTTGAAGTCCAAAATTGTGATGACTTCAGCTTTGCTTTGCTTTTTTGGGATTGCTTTGGCTATTCAGGGTCTTTTTGATCCCATACAAATTTTAAGATTCTTTGTTCTAGCTGTGTGAAAAATGACGTTGGTAATTTGATAGGGGCTGCTTTGGGTACTATAGACATTTTCATAATATTTATTCTTCAAATCCATGAGCATGGGATCTTTTTCCATTTCTTTGTGTCATCTTCAATTTCTTTCATCAGTGTTTTCTAGTTTTCAGAGTACACATCATTTACCTCTTCAGTTAGGTTTATTCCTAGGTATGTTATGCTTTTTGGTGCAATTGCAAATGGGATCAATTCCTTGATTTCTCTTCCTGCTGCTTCATTATTGGTGTATAGAAATAAAACAGATGTCTGTACATTGTTTTTGTATCCTGCGACTTTACTGAATTCATTTATCATTTCTAGCAAGTTTTTGGTGTAGTCTTTCAGGGTTTCTAAATACAGTCTCATGTCATTGGCAGATAGTGAACATTTGACTTCTTCCTTGCCAATTTGGATGCCTTTTATTTTTCTCTTGTTGTCTGATTGCTGTGGCTAAGACTTCCAGTACTATGTTATTAGTGGTGAGAGTGGGCATTCCTGTGTTGTTCCTCACTGTAGAAGAAAAGCTATCAGTTTTTCCCCATTGAGGATGATATTAGCTATGGGTTTTTCATATATGGCCTTTATTTTGCTTAGGTATTCCCTTTAATCCTACCTTTTTGAGGATTGTTATCATGAATGGATGTTGTACTTTGTCAAATGCATTTTCTGCATCTATTGAAAGGATCATATGGTCTTATCCTTTCTTTTATTAATGTGGTCTATCATGTTGATTGACTTGCGAATATTGAAGCACTTGCAGCCCAGGAATAAATCCCACTTGATCATGCCAAATGGTTCTTTTAGTGTACTGTTAAGGATTCAATTTGCTAGTATCTTGTTGAGAATTTTTACATCCATGTTCATCAAGGATATTTGCCTGTAGTTCTCTTTTTCAGTGGAGTCTTTATCTGCTTTTGGTATCAGGAAAATGCTGGCCTCAAGAATGAATTTGGAAGTTTTCCTTTCTCTTCTAGTTTTTGGAATAGTTTGAGAAGAATAAGTATTAACTCTTCTCTAAATGTTTGGTGGAATTCCCTTGTGAAGCCATCTGGCCCTGGACTTCTGTTTGTTGGGAGATTTTTGATTACTGACTCAATTTTTTAGTGGTTTTCAGTCTGTTCAAGTTTTCTATTTCTTCCTGTTTCAGTTCTGGTAATTTATATGTTTCTGGAAATTTATCCACTTCTTCAAGGTTGTCCACTTTGTTGGCATATATTTTTTTCATAATATTCTCTTATAATTGTCTTTCTGTGGTATTGGTTGTTATTTCTTCTTTCTCATTTTTGATTTTATTTATTTGGGTGATTTCTCTTTTCTTTTTAATAAGCCTGGCTAGGAGTTCATCAATTTTATTTATTTTTTCAAAGAAACAGCTTCTGGTTTCATTGTTCTGTTCTATTGGTTTCTTTTGCTTCTATATCATTTCTTCTGCTCTAATCTTTGTTATTTCTCTTCTTCTGCTGGTTTTAGGCTTCATTTATTCCTCTTTTTCTGGCTCCTTTAGGTGTAAGGTTAGGTTGTATATTTGAGATTTTTCTTGCTTCTTGAAGTAGGCCTAATGTATTGGTATATACTTCCCTCTTAAGAGTATGTCTAGCAATTTTGATTAGATCCTGAAAATCATGGGTATTGCATGTCTTGATTTTGTTGACTTCTATTAAAGAGTATTGAAATTTGTTTTTTAGGTAGTTATTTGTAGATCAACTTCGTCCATTTGAGGCTTCTTTTTAAGCTTGTTAGGACAAATATAAGGTAACTTTTACTGGCAAGGTTAATCCTACTACTAAAGTCTGCTTTCTTTTTTCTCCTCATTCTTATTGGTTGGAACTTAAACATCTCCCAGCTCTGCGTCGCTTCTTGGAATTGTTCAGCTTAAAATTCCCTGATATTTCATTGGCTAACCTCATAGACTTTCTTTTAAAGATTATTTATTCATTTTTAATTTATTTTAGAGAGAGAGAGAGAGCACAGGCTGGGGGAAGGGCAGAGGGGGAGGCAGAGGGAGAGGGAAAGAAACTCAAGCAGACTCTGTACTGAGTGCAGAGCCCAATGTGGGGCTCAATCCCATGACTCTGAGATGACCTGAGCCAAAATGAAGAGTCAGATGCTCAACTGACTGAGCCACCCAGGTGCCCTAGCTCATACATTTTTATCTTGGCCACTCATGGCTTAGTATTCAATGGACAGACTCAAGGAGACCCATAGAAAATTTTTTTTTTTTTAGTTCTTTCTCTATACAACTCTCTCTTTTCTGGTACACTGCCCTGCAAATTCTAGCTGCCTCAGCCTCTCTGAACTCCAGTCTTTGTCTCTTCCACCTGAGCAAGACTTCCATGCTCAGCAAGACTTCCAAGCTCCCTATGCTACCATTCAGAATGTGCTTTCAGGTAGCAAGTGGTGACAATGGTAGGACTTATTTTATTTGTTTCCCTTTTTTTCAGAGTCATTGTCAAACAGCTCTTTCTTTTATTTTGTCCAATTTTCTAATTGTTACAACAGGAGAGCAAGTATAGTACCAGTTACTCCAACATGGCCTGGAGTAGAAGTCCCTCTGTGGGATTTTACTAGCACCTCTGTGCAGACAGCACCCCAAAATCTCTAGCCTAGACATCATCTCCTGAGTTCTAACTGCAATGTATCTAGTTTCTCACTGGACCTGTGCTTCCCAAACATATTTAGATCATGGTACATTGTAATGATCATATCTGTATAGCATACTCTGTTATATGAACAAAACTGATCATGGCACAAGTATTAAGCTCCAAGGGCCAAAGGAATCAGAATTGGAATTGTCGCAGACTCTCTCTCTACATACATGTTTCA